CGCCGGAATCATGTTTGACTGGACAAGAGTGGATCCGACATTTGTTGATTCATTTTTTGGGTAAACAAAATTCAATCCTTACTGTAAACTTGAAGTGATTGGTAATGTATTGGGATTTGATTAATGCGAGTTATTAAATTCCACAGAAAACGAAACCTCGTAAATGCCAATGCTTCATTAACCCGCATTCATTCGTTCATTCTTGTCGACAAAACTAAGAATTTGTACTGGCATCTTATGCAAATTTGCTTGATGTTTACGCCAATTTGCTTGTCCTAAAAGGTAGACTTCACGCTGAGCTGGGATCTCAATAAAGTTAAAATACTAGATTAATTACATGCATGCAATTAAAGGACAATAAGTCTATTTGTGTGAGAGGTTGTCAACCTACAAATAATATGGCTCATTAAAGGAATATACATATTACAGTGGAGGTAGTAACCACCGAAAATAAATTGAAGGAAGAACGGGTATGGTGATTGGGAGAGTAAGGCAATTTTACGAGTAAGGAATATACATACTTGCAATATATGCATTATTGAGGACGGACTCTAAGAATTTTGAGGTCCTAGACAATAATTTTTTATGAGACCTTAAAATTAAATTTTTACGAGTGTAGAAAAATAAAATATTATATTTTAAATGTAGACATTGTAGCATAATATTTAGCAAAAATTATCCCCTTGATGGAGAAAATATTATTGGTGTAAATAATAATTTTCAAGAATTATTAATTGAGAAAACTCGAGTAAGGTGCAATTTAGCGAATTCTAGAAAGTTTAAGAACTAAAGTGAAGATCTTGAGAAAATTTTATGAACCATAATTTGAAGTCCTGGGAATATTTAAGGGATGACATTTTTTATTTTTTATGGTTTACGATGGGATCTTTAAATGCAAGTGTGAAATTTAGGGACTAGATTACAAATAGTGAGAAAGATGTAATTTTAGACGATAAGGTGACTGACTAGTTAAGATTATTTAGTGGTGAGAAAGATCACCAGATTCTAAAGATTTTGATTTGGGGAAACTTTGATAATTTTGAGATCTTGAGGGAATAGATTGAAAATAAGCTTTGACGTCAATAATGTATTTGCACCTAATGTGTAATTATTGGAGGATTGGGAATTGCACTATCAGTATTGGGTTCATTTCGAAACAATCAAGAAAAAAAAATTAATTTGAACAAATCAAATTCGAGTTATAACCTAATAAAGTAAATTACTTGGATAATATTAATTTTCAAATTAGATTATATTATCGTAGCAATATTAGACTCGTTTGATAGTTATAATTAATTGTATATATTAAGATCGAGAAAAAATTATTTTGGATAAGTTCGAACTAAATTAGAATCGACCAAATAAAATTATAGTTAAATGAAATTTTAAGCAATTATTCCATCTATTTAGTAATTTAATTGGGTCGTATTTTTTCTTTGGAAAGATTTCATAATTAAGATATTTACTTTTACCAATTTCAAATTTAAGAGATTATGTTTAAAATTTCAAATCTCAGAGTTTTTAAAATTTTATTTATAAATAAATAAATTAAATATATTAACGCCACAATTTCATATAATTTGGTCACAAATTTCATATAATTGGTCACAAATCACAATTTCCATGTTACATATTATTTTACGGTCACAATTCAAAATTTTTATTGGACACAATTTGTCGTCGGTCATAAATCAAAAATTTATACGTCACAATCTCAAATCTATCAAATTAATAAGTCACGTATTATTTATTGATCACAAATTACAAATTTTATATGTCACAAAATTTTTTACGGTCACAATTCAAAAAAATTATAGGATCATCGCTCACAAATCAAAAATTGAAACATCACAATTTTTTTATAGATCGCAAATCACAAATATTATAAGTAACAACTTAGTGAACAATTACAATTTTTCAAATTATCGATCACAAAATAACAGTTTTTTAAGTCACACATTTTTTTGTTACAATTTATCTTGTTCTTTCAAATTATCGATCACAAATTAATAGTTTTTTAAGACACGTTTTTTTGTTACAATTTATATTTTTCATTGGTCACATATTATTTATCAATCATAAATTAACCAATTTATTAGTCACAATCAACAAATAATTTGTGACCACAACCTACACTTGGTGACCATTATTGCACCACCCCCTCAAGCAGCACCATCGCCATTGTCACCGCCAGAACCACCACCACCACCACCTCGCGACAGCAACTTCACCACATTAAACAAATCAACACATCGCGAAAAACACCACCACGTCATCGCATTGATCCATCACCACCTTAAGAGACCCGTCGGCACCAACATCTCAACACCATCACCAAGATCCACAACGTCCGCCACCAAAAAAACCATGGCCAACATAATCTCCGCCTCCAACACAGCCACCGTCACCCAAACACCACCACCACAACCTACCAGATCCAATCACAACCAAACATCACCAAAACCACCGCTACTAGAACAAACACCACAACCACAACCACACATCACCACCACCTCAACAGATCCAATCGATTGAGAGCACCGCTACACTATCCAAAATGGGAAATCATTCGTCTAGCCTTGTTGTGGGCGAGAGAAGGTGGTGTGTTCAGGAAGAGATTGGCAATACGTTTAAATACACTACCTCAATACATCGAAAATCTCCGGCACGACGACCGCGATGGAGGTCCGCTCATTTATAGCGAGCGTGAGCTTTCCTTCGACGCCATTCCGCTTATCCACGTGAAAATGCATTGTCCTTCTTCATTGCAGTTTAAGGGCTGGTGGAGAGTGGAAGAGAGAGCGACGAAGAGTGGAGAAAGGGAAGAGAGAGTGACGGAGAGAAGAGAGGGAAAATTGGAATGAAATTGATTAGAGTTTGGATGAAAATTGTACAATTAATATTTAATATTTAAAAATAAAATATTTGATTTTTGAAAAGTGACTTTCAATTTGATTTTTAAAATTGAATCTTTAAAATTTTGACTTTGTGAGGATTCCACTTTTTCCTTTCACTTTTCGAGGCCTTTTAACTTTGAGAAATGCTATTGGTACATAACATTTTCCATAAGGGTTCACATAAAGGCTACATGGCGCCTCTCCATTGGAGGTGCGCCTAGGCCCACATGTGGGGCCGAGGAGTCCCTCCAATGAAAATGCGCCATGTGCCCCTTATGTGAAGGGTTGTGTTGTGGGTTATGTACCCATAACATAACCCTTTAACTTTTGAGCCTTAGGCCATTGCCTAGTTGGCCTCGACGTAGGACCGGCCCCAATTATTC